CGCGCCGTCAGCTTACAAAGCGTATACGCATAGTAGCGGCCTCTTCAAGTCACACCGGTCGGATAGAAGGGTGGGAGGGAGGTAGAGACATGGAAAAGGGGAGGGGGTGGGTGCGGCAGGAGGAATCGAGGAGAGAGAAACGGAGTTGCGCGCGGCTGTGTGTAGACCGCGGTGTTAACAAACGGTACACTAATGTTTCACATCTCGGTGTGCCTCCTCCGTATGCTCCTATCTCGCTCGAGCTCGCGCGAGGTTCTTCGTTCCTGCAACGGGTTCCTCCGTCTGGTGTCGGCCCTCCGTGGCGAGAGCAAGAGCGCGAAGTAGTAGCTCAACGTGCCGCGCACACTGCGGGGTGACGAGAAAGGCAGCACCAACGGAGAGAGCTTTGGTGGTAGTACGCGGCGGCGGCGGCGGCGAGGAACAGCTTGCCGTGCGATCAAGGGAGGGGGTACGGGAAAGGTGGTGGAGGCGGGGCAAGGTTAGTCCGCGCCCACGGAGGGGAAAAAAGCCGAGCTCCGCACCCACCGCGGTCTGTTAGAGGGGAGACGAAAGAAGTGTGGAAGGGGACGATTTATCCAGCGCTGCGCGACGCAGTCTCTCTCTTTCGTCGGGGGCCGGACGGTATATCGAAGCGCCCTATACACACACAGCACTACTACTCCTACAAGGGAATCCCCGTTCTTACGAGCAAGAGGGGTAACAGGCGCGATCATGTGTGAGTTTCACCGCGAAACGGCAAAAATATCCCTTCGCTGGCAGGTAGTACCCTCTCTCGGAGAGAGTAGGTGTGTGTGTATTGTATATCGGCGATCCGCCGGCCAGCGAAAAATGTCGGTGCATCTTTTTACCCAACCCCCGCGGAACACCTCGTCGACGGGGTCCCCCTTTTCGCACAGCCCTCCCCCCCACCAGTTGCAGCGAATGTCCTACCCCACAGACCGTCGACGGCTCGCGATCCACCACCTACAGCCGCCCCTACCCGCCCCTTTGATCGGCGCTTCGGTGCCAGGAGGGCGACAAGTAAGCGCGAGGAGGCGAGTTCCCTTGAAAGAACTGCGCAAAACACACTTTCGCGAGGAACGCCACCCGGCCCCCGAAGTCCCCCGTTCGTCGTTGTCGTCATCGTATCCCGTCTCGACCGGTGTTGTCAAACTTGTATATTGTTAGTGATCGTCGGCACGTTGCCGGAATCGCGTGGCCCATCGTCGTTTTATAATCGTCCTTACGGGTCCCGACGGGTCGAGCTGTCACGCGTCGTCGTTCGACTTGTGATTTATTCTTTTTTTCATTTTAAGTGACAAGCCCGACCACCGGAGCCTCCTGACGTGCACAGAATTCGAAATCTCGAATATACATTAAAAAAACTGCTCGCGGGGTGTCGTTCGTCATTGCGGCTTCCCGAGAAAAAAAAGGCCTGATGACAATCAGTGGCGGCGCGCGTGATGGGACAGCCACGCGTCATCAACGCATTAAATTCCCGGTACGCGTTGCTCGTCCCGCGTAAACGTGCTCGTGTAATACGCTCCTCGTCGTCGGGTGGCAATCGTGCGTTCCGCTGCTACATAAACATACGAGCGAAAAAGACGTTGCGTCGGTGAATCGGAGCAAGAAGGGGGACGGACATACGGTACATACGGAGGTGCGACCAGGGAGAACGAGAGAGAGAGAGAGAGAGAGAGAGAGAGAGAGAAAGACTGTGTGTAGTCAAGTGTCGCGTTGTGTGTGTAGCAAGGAGGTGGATCTCGGAGGTGGGGGCTGGTGGTACCAGGAGCAAGGGGGGAGGCTACGAAGTAGTTGACGATCGTCGCGGTAAAGTAGGAGGAGGACGAGGAGGAGGAGGAAAAGGAGGCGAAGAGAGAGAAAGAGAAAGAAAGAGAGTAGGAAATCGGTAGTGGTGGGGAAGAACGTCAGAGTGTGTGCGGTCGTGTCGAAGAAGGAGGTGGAGAAGCGAGCGAACGGGCAACGGGAGAGAGGGGGCAGCCGAACAAACTACCGGGAAGAAGTCAGCGGCAAGTAAAGCAGCGCCGCCGAGGCTAAACTTCGGGATCTATCGAACTAAAATTGTCGTGTAGTTTCTCTCTGCCTCCTCTTCTCGCCCCTCTCCTAACGGCAAAGCAACCTCTATCTCTTTCTCTCTCTTCACCTCTCCCTTGACCCCACCAGACCGGAGCCGCCAGCACACGGTGGCAACGGCAGCATCTCGGTCGGTTGCGCCCCCTCTGGCTCGAGCACCCATCCCCTCCACCAAAACGAAAGCCGAACGAAGAGGGAAGAAAGCATCGACGGTGGGGCACATCACGAGGGACGAGGAGCGTCGGCACGAGGGAGAAGAATAGATCGGCCTGGCGTGTGAAAGAGCGGGACGGCAAAACGGAAAGAGGCGAAAGGAGAGAAAGAGACGGGGAAGTTGAACACGGGAGGGGGTAGAGGCAGGGAGCAGCGCGCGTTAGCTTGGCCCCACGGTCGACTCACCATATTTTATTGTCGCGTTTGCCGACGCTAACCGCCGGCGGTACGGCTCCGTGTGCTCCCCGATCCTCTCTACGCACGAAGATGCCGAGCTGACTCTCTCTCGGGGAGAATCGCGGCTGTTACAGAGAGAACGCGCTAGCTCGCTCGGCCTATACGATCGACGAGTGTTCTGTGTTAGAAAAGCCGCCGCGCGGATAATACGAATTCGCTCGCGTGGGTACGACGAGGTGCCGGGTAGTGTGTGGCATCATCAAGCCACCGAGCAGAGGTGGCACCAGCACCCCCACCACTACACCGCGGCGTGCCGGCCTGGACCCTCCCACCCGTCTCACCGAGGGCAAACCATCTCGCAAAAATCGTCCCCCTTTCCATGGAAGGAAAAGAACTACGGCGACGACTCTGCCACCGCCACCACCGCCACCACCACCACCGTCGAGCCGACCGTTTCTCGTCACTACCACCACCACCACCATCGGCACACTACCATCGTTATCGCCAGCGCCACCGTCACTGTACCGCTGCCTCCTCCTACAACACCGCGATCAACCGTCATCTCGCGGAACGGGGATACCAGAACTTACGGACTCGGATCTGGTTGTACGGTCCTACGACGAGGAGGCCGGGACTTACGGGGAATCATTGGTGCTACCGTACCGTACTACCTACATGTTCGGTGATCGTCGATTGAATTCGGTTACCAGTGACGATTATACGAAAGTGCGCGTGTGGATCGGTATCACGTCGGAAACGGATATAAACGAGGACACGACGAATAATCGTATCTGATCCCAAGGACTAACAACTAGCACCCCTAATAAAGAATATTAGAAAGAAGTTTTCATTCCGTAAGGTTCCGCACCGCCTAGCAAAGAGGGAGGAAGAAGAGACTCATCGTCGTCATCGTATGGACACGCGCTCTCTCTCCTTCTCCGACCCCCGCCTCTGAACACGAGTGAGCAGAATACATACGCGTGTATACATGTGGACGCACACGCGCGCCGAGGATCACGCAGAGGACGAAGACAGAAGCATCGAGGCATTACAAGCGCGCCAGTTACTAGTTGTTACCCGTTTAAAGTGTGCGCGGCGACTGTTCGGTGGGGCACTATAAAACCCCGTGACTCAAGGCGATCGGTTGATTTTCAATTACTCCAGAAAAAAAAAAGAAAAACAAAGATATATATATATATACACACACACACACACATACCTTCATTGGGGTGAGAAGCAATTCCAGCGTGTGTGCATGTGTGCGTATAAGTGTGTGCGCGTGGAAGAAGGACCGTAGAACCCGAAGGAAGAAAAAAGAAAAACGGTGTGTGCGCGAGAACAAGTCGATCCTCGGCTTTCCTTTTTCACGAAACCGTCCTCTCCGTCACCATCGCTCGAGTTCTTTCGACCTACCACTCTCTTTCCTTCTCTCTCCCTCTCTCTATTGCTCGCAAACCCGCCGCCTCTGTGTCCCGTCCCTCTAGCTTGGTTCTCCTCTTCTCGCTCGCTCCTCCCTCTAGCCCCTGTCTCATTCTCTTTCTCTGTCACTTCCACTCCGTCCCCGTGGTCGTACTCTTTCTCTCTCCCTCGCACCCGTGGTTACCTCCGCCTTCCTATCCGCGCTCTCTCGGTGGAGGACTGGATTCCGTCGAAAAGAAACGACGATTCGGAGGATAGTCGCGACCGATCATAGCTGGCGCGTCGATCGGATCAACGGGCGCGCGCGAGAGTTTGCCGGGGAAACTGATCGTTCGTTCCCGATCCCGGGAACGTGTGTAAAATACGCTCGATTAACTGTCGTCGGTGATTAATTATTTTTTTTTCTTCTCTTCAATTAGTACGCGACCGGTTCACGAACCCATACGGTGCGACCACATCACCTGGGACACTGGAACGAGATCGGTGTTTTCTTCTCAGCCGCCAGATCGGGTGCCCTGTGTCGCGACGACGATTTAGTGGTGCGTGGACTCTGTCGTGTGCACACCGCTGTTGACGTACGGTTGTCATCGGCCCTCGTGTGTCTAGTCGTGAACATAGTCGCCGGACAGTGTCAATCCCGTGGCCGACCACGATTTTGCGGTCGCTCGAAGGAACGGAAAACTGGTCCCCGTGTGCCTCTTTGTGCCCCCGCGTTGTCTGTGACAGTGCCCCAAGTGTGTACAGCCCGGTGAAGATCGTCTTCCAGGGTCGAGAGAGTACGGTCGGCGGCTTTGGTAGACAGTGCAATAAAACGGGCGCGAGTTCGTCACTATAGTGAGAAGAATTTTCAAGTTTATAACTAGTTCGTGACTCGATACCTATAAGGAACACACCGGCGCGACGACGTTCGTATTTATTTCTTCATCGTCCGACCGGTCGTGCTTACAGTGCATAGATAACGAAACGAGGAAACGACTAAAACAGTGATATCTCTTTCTATCTGGTTATACGCTGGAAGTGACTTGGTGAGGAGACTGATAAACACGGATGCACAGGCCCCTGAAACGATGATCGCGTAGCGGTGCCCGACCATCACGGCCCTGAGTGGCCGACACACCATGTCACAGTTCTCTTTTCGAGGATCGCCAAATCTACAGGTGAGTCTTCCGTCGACCCGATTTTGCACGTTCTACTCGCTACTAGACGAGCTATCGTTTCCGTTCGTGTCGAATTGGGACGTGGGACTCGATGCGCGACACCACAATTGTTCCCCCTGTGATGGATGCACTCTCCCGATGACATCGATCAAATTGGTGCGACTGGAATCAATCGGTGTAGTTTGTGGAAGTTCGTTAGGGTTCGGTTAAATAACTGATAGACACTTTTGGTTCGTTCCTATTCGGTTCTGATATCTGTATGGAACAGAAGCTGGAAACTGTTCTTTAAAATATTCATTCCCCAACAATTATCGTGTTTCTATCTGACTGGATTCAATCCATCGAACGAAAATCATAATTACCCTGGAATTGTCTTTACGTAACGAGACCCCTCGAACTGTTAATATCAAGAATGAAGCGTGGTGTGATTCGTGGATGCAATCGTTCAGTTCACGTGTTAATATTCAAACAGTCCACAGCAAGATTGTATCCGTAGAATTTCCTTGTCTCTGGAGTAATTCCTTTCATTCACTCGACCAGAAGATCCTTCCAAGAACAGGGCCAATAATTGTCCAGCCGGGACAGTAGTTTCACGATCGCTGAATGGACCCGCCGTAGAATCGTGAGACGGTTTTTTTCCCCCCCGGTGCAGAAAAAAACAATCGTCGCCGTCTATCGGTGACTGGAGTTCTCTCGGTCGACAAAAAAACAACTTCAATCCCCGGTCAGCCGTGAGTGTTTTTTTCCCCCTCGGCGGCCGCCCGTTTCTTTCGACGCGTCGAAAAAAAGTGTGAACAACGAAGCGTGTTTGTCTAAACTTTTTCCTGGCTTGCGAAAAAACAAAAACAAAGTCGAGCGTGCGAAGAGTTCCTCTGTACACTCTTCGCCGTGCGACGAGCAAAAAACCGTCGAAGAAACGGGGACGCGTGCGAACTCTTACGGTCACTAGGACCATTGGTAAAAAATCCGGAAACATATCGAGAGACGTTTGTGACAAGTGTGGGCACGCGCGTGCCTTAAAAACGATGGAACATCGAAAGAAACTGCGAGTACAGGGCCTCGGATTGCTCACCGGTTAACGACTCGTTCCCCCCGTTCGTTCTCCTCGGATCTATGAATCCGGATATAATTTCAGCCGTTTGAAAGTCAAATTTATTCAACGGTCGAAAGCCACTCGCCTATTTGTGTCCTATCTGTTTCCCCAGCTCGTACGCGGGATTCCGCGTGTACGCCACGCTCAGCCGACTGCGTGGAAAATCGTTTATGCACTCTTGACTATTCACCGAGGTACACGGGTATGTATAGTCGGTGCCCCCTTGTTAATGCACTTTCATGAGACGTCGAGGATGGTTCTTTCCTCTTTCTTATGGTGGTTGATTTTGATCGGACCTGTCGTCGACCAAGTTGGCGATAGAATTCAACTTTTTTATTGAGCGTTAGAGCGACGGTGTTGTGTATGTTTGAGTGGTTGGTAATTCATTTTTGGCTGTTGGGAGTTAACGACTGCATGGAAGTCATTATCGATGAATAGCTTGGAATCTATATTTATTTCCGAAGTTGAAGATTGGTGTAGGATCAGTGACGTTCAAACGAAACTAATTGTACCGTAAATGTTTGTACAGATTGTATGAATCTGAGGTAATTTAGTTTTCGATTTCTTATCAACGACGTACAAGAGTGTTAATAACATCCCAGAAGTAAATATCGAAAGATTCCAGTTAACAGTGACCTTTTTCGTTTCACATTCGATTACCTGAAATTACGGTTCAAACAAGACAGGAAGATCTACAGATGGCGCCTATGTGGAATCAAATCCTAACGCAACAATCGCGTTCTAAACGTCACAGCTCAATTCCGTGTTCTCGCTAAATATTTGTTACACATTGCCATCGAATTCAGTTCGAGTCACGTACTAAATTCTCCTAACAGGGCCGTCAGTTACAATCGCTACAGTCCACGTTAACCCGAAACATTCTCATTGCCCGCGAAATATACGATCCGGACGATTGGGGGAAGATTTAGAGATGGCGCTGCAACATCTAATTCACTCCCGTTGATCATTCTCCTCTGTATATCGCGTGCGCGCAACTTGTAGCAATCTCGATCGCAACGGGGCGTTTCGCAGTACGATTCTCCCGTTTGAAATTCAAAATATACGATGGGTTCGCCCGTGAAAATCCGAGCAACCGAAGAAACGGTTTCGGTACGCGTGGGGCAACGGTTGGATAATTTGTAGCGTGGGATCTTGTCCGTAGCGAGAATGGATAGCCGTTGGCAAGCCCTGAGAGAGAGATTCGGTACCACGTGTCCTGACATGTTGCGTATATAGGTGTACGGGCCGCATACCTATGCGGTGTGCATAGCGCCGAGCTGGGAACATGTGTTGCCACGCCTAAACCAACGCTCCGAAATGATCGAAGAGCTTTCGCGCCCTCTAGAATAATTATCTCGTCTTACCCATCGGCGAAGCTTTTTGCCACGATATACAACCACGTACCGGGCTCGTCGACACCCACGCGAGAGACCACGTTTCTCCTCCTCCTCCTCCGGCTCCTCCACCTCTTCAGCCGCGTTCACTCCGCGAAATGGCGTTTCGAACGCCTCTTTTTGTGCCTCGTTTCGCGCCGCCTAACATTGTTCGTTTAACCGGTTACCATTACGCGGTCCAATTTTCGCGTTTTCAGACACGCGACCACATACCGGTCTCTTTCCTATCGATTTTCGCGGCACGTTTTCCGCTCGAAAATCGGAACGGGAGACGCCGATTACGGGAGCCGAAACACTCTTACGCTGGGCGGCGATTTTCAAGGTGTAACGATGGTGTTACTGGGATTTCTGCATGCTTTTTGTTGCTTCGAGAAAAAGTCGCGTTGGAAAATATGTTTCGGGATTATTTCTGGGTCTTTGGAAAATGGTGGATATAATTGTTTCTTTAGTTTTTTGTGCGTTGGATAGGTTGGTGTTGTAAATGGAAATTTAAGTAAAATGGGATTAGTGTTGTCTATGTTAGAACTGTCAGTTTAGGTGTCCAGTGGACCTAGTTGCAAAGAATTCAGACACTTCATTTCCTTCATATTCTTCTTATAAAAGTGATACCATAATATTCTACATATCCAAATATTCATTATCGGCAAAACTTGTTTCATTACAAACTGAAAATCCTTTGAAAACAAAAGATTCCCTCCCACTTTATAAAGTGTTCCTTTTAAAATAAAATTTTTCGATAAAGAAGCAGCTACAAATAAACGCCAGAAATATATTGCACGCGGTTCACGATCGTAGCTGTTTTCGTAACAAACGTGAAAAGTGTATACGAAACATTCCGATATTTCAATAAAACTAGTAATTTCCTATAACGGGCGGCTAATATCTCCCACTTCCTCTCTTTGTAGGCAAACGGGGTAGTGCAATAGTGGAATCGGTTCGGCACGTATCACGTTGCTTAACCGTCGATAAAAATTAATGGTCTATTATCTATGAGTGTTGCTCAGTCTATAACACAGTTAAACAAACAAGCCAGCCACTTTAGTCACGGTTGTTGTATTATCGTTGACACACTTTTCTTTCGAATTGCGTTGCCCGTCAACCTTAAACGCTGATCTCTGTAACGCACTGTGCATCATTTATTACACCATCGCGAGAAAAGAGACCGCGTCGCCGCCGCTATGATCGAGGGATTCAATTTCTGCGTGATCGAAAGGTGGGGAAGAGGAGGGGTAGTCGTTGAATCATCGTGTCCCGTCACTTTCACGAGGAGCGGTGTGCGACTGCTCGTTATCGTAATTATATCATAGTCCAGCGAAAAATTCGCGATAAGACCCAGTGTTTCGTTCCAACGTCCGTAAACCGATGACTACTTCCCCTTCTTCCCCTCGACTGTTATTACTAGACTGCTGATTTTTATGCAAAATCACATTTTGTAAAATGATTCGTATAGACAAGAGCAAAAGTAGGAATTTCTTTCTTTTCATAAATATCTTCCTGGGTTAAGAATAAAATAGAAACCACGTTGTGATTGGTGAAAGTTTTATCGTTTACTGTATTTCACAGCGTCCTATAGGCTATAAATGCATAAAATCCGCAGTCTAGTTGTTACGAACCGTTTGATCTATTCACGAATTTATTTCCACCGGTGGTGGATGACAAACTATTAATTGTGGGTTGTGTTTCGCGTTGCCAAGATACGGCGATGTTTGGCATTTGCGTTTCGTTGATGATGTAACGGGTGTCGCGGGGATCTTGCCCGGCTGTAAATATGTACGGACACACGGACCGTGTAAACTTATCATTAATAATCGTTAAGCGCGTTCAGGTGTGTGTTCGACATCGGCTTTCGCCCTGCGTGCAGCTTCTTAATTTCCAGCAGATCTCTCTCTCTCTCTCTCTATCACTCTCCCCGAACGTTTCTCAGAAACAGCTTTTATTGCCTCATCACGATGGAAGCGTCACTTTGTTCACGCGAATTCGTTGTGCGTTACCTCGATACGATTTCCACGCTGCTTTCGCATATTTTAGAACCCCCCGATAGGGGGAAACGCGTCGAAGATTGATACGCGACACACTGAAACATCGCGTTTCAGGAATCGCTCGGTGGAAACCAAATGTTTCGTTGGGTTATCTGCTGCATAACAAACCACGAACGCATACGAATTATCTACAGTCATTTGCACGTTTTAAGCGTGAATACACTAGAAGTGTACGCGATTACATTATACCGAACGTTAGGGTAACAACACGAGTGACATAACGTTGGTATTAATATCAGTCGAATGTGGCCTAGTGACTCACAACCGAAGAATATCAGAATCAGACGACAGGGTTTTATGGTTTTTAAATACACATAATTTACATGTTACTCGTGAATAGAATGATTTCATCGCAAAATTAAACGGTAGAACGGTCGTTTCAAGTCCCCGCCTGAAAAATTGAGATGTCCAAAAAGGAATAAAACAACGACGATCGCGAATTAAATTTAGAACACGAAAATTCATATCGCTAAT